TCCAGAGAGAGAATGGTTGTTTGTCAATTCTTTCTATGAACTAAGCAAGTAATAATATTTGTGCACCGACTATAGAAGTATACTAAGCAATCATGGATCCAGCAGCTCTCCTTCCCCAAATGCTTATCCTTGTGGTAAGGAGGGTCATTCCCGTATTAGCTCGCCTGTCTAGAAGGCCACCCTAGAAGACGATATAGTTAGTTATGTATATGTTATTCATTCGTTGGTTTATGTCTTTAAGATTTAAAATTTTTATGAAAATTCTGTTTTTTAGGGCTTTTACAAATAATGAAGTTTTTGTTTCCTAATAATTTCTATGGGATATTGCAAATTTATACGGATTCCGACATGAGTATCGTGTCTAGTACGTATCTAAATATTCTAGTATTTTGACACGAAAGGCTAGTACCGTAGGACTCATCTGTACAAGAACGATTTGTTTGGGTGTGTGGAGTGATTTCATGCAACTGTGTTATAGTAATAATGAAGCATGCCTTCAAAAACCTTGTTAGTAAACCCTAATTACTAAGCACTCATTAAACTATGATGAACCATCTTAAAAAACCAGAACTTGTAAACTCAACATAAAATTGCTTTTTTTTTGGCCCAATAAACTCAAGGTAGTCCATTTGATGGGATGTATCACATCTAGGTTTTGAAAGGATTATTTTTTAATCCCAAATTTTGTATATGGCCTCATGTAACGAGGGGAAAAATGATTTCGAGTTCATAAAGGCCTGGATCAACATCTGCCAAATTGACAGTTTAGATTCATTTTTGGAGAGGGACTCATTTTGACTTCTTTTGGGGTGCATATTCAACCTTTTTTCTTTTTGGCAATGATTGTTGGGATGAAGGAGCACAATTGCAAAATTTGGATCATACAAATGTCATAAACATGCTCTTTTTAAAGAGTGGTTTTATTATACTAAAATGTAATGGTGATATGAAATCACTCCTCTCTCTCTCTCTCTATATATATATATATATATATATATATATATGTGTGTGTGTGTGTGTGTGTGTGTGTGTGTATAATGCGTCTATAGAAATAGTTAATCATGGAAAATTTATTTCGATATTGCAGAGCTTATGAAATTGTGTTTTCTCTTCTATTTTCAGCAGCGATTTCTGGTGAAAAACTGAAAAGTATAGTGCTATTGAATCATTGATATGAAATTATAAATAGAAGAGCATTGCATAAACTTTGTCTTAGTCCAAAATATGTGGAACAAGCACCGTCATCTTCCTCCTCCCCTGAGGTGGGACAAGCATCATCGTCTTCTTCCTGCCCTGATTTGGAATAGTATCTACAACCTTTACCCCAGAACTTCTCCTCAGATCTCGATTTCTAAGCCTAAACCGAAGCCACCCCCTCCCCACCTCTCCCTGTCTTCTAGGGAAGTCATCAAGCCAAACCCGAAGGCGAAACAAGCTCCACAGGCCTCCTACACGCAGGTGGTTGCCTCTGCTAATTCTATCCCCACTATCTCTACTGCTCCTCTTTCTGAGGGGCGTACACCTACCCCAGATGCTTCTTCTCCGTTTCGTCCCTTTCTCATCCCTACCCCTGCAGAGGAGTCTGTCCCTCTCATATCCAAACATCTCACTTTGCTGGTGGAAAGCTTCCAACCTAGAAGAGACAATGTTAACGGTATTGAACGATGGGCTCAACGCCTCTGGGTGGAACCTAACCTCCCTTGCAGACGGCTCTGTAGTGGAGATTTTCTTTTCTCCTTCCGCTCGCATAAACATGCCCTTAGTGATCTTCGGGAACCCATCTCTTCCACCTTCAAAGGGGCCACTCTCAACCTTCGAGTGTGGTTCCCTAAGGAAGGGTCTTTTAGGAAGCAGAGAATTAGGCTCATTGCAGAACACATACCGCTCCACGTGTGGTCCCCGTCCACCTTCAGGAGAGCGGCGAAAGCTTGTGGTAACCTTGTATCTATCCGTTGGAATTCTTTAGAATCGCTTCCTCTCGGGTCCATTCGTCTCCTGTTGAAGCATCTGGATAGCAACCTCGTTCCCCCCTACATCTGGCTTAAAGTTGACCACCTTTACTACCCTGTCTCGCTTTCGTGGTCGGCGGCCTCTCCGCAATCGGCCAACTTCTTTACCCAAACGGACCATCTTCGCTCAAGAGCTCTCATTCTCACAGCTGGACCACCGTCTCAAGGAAGCTTCGCCACACCAGGAGGCGACATTGACAACCACCCTCTTGTCCTGCACCTCTCAAGGAGCACCACCAACCCAATCCTCCCAAACGACCCCAGCCAGCCACCTGGTGACCACCTGGCGATCATTCGGGAAGCCTTGAACAGTTGATGGAGGTCATCTAGCCGCCTTCGCACGCGGCACATGTACCCCATCAGTCAGACTCTAGTCTCGAAGGCAGCGGGCCCGTTGGCCCATGTAGGTCACTTCCTGATTCCACCACCATCTTTTCCCATCGGCCCGGCAAGGAAGTCGTAGAGGATCGTGAACCCTCTTCTCAGCTGCAGTCGACCAGCCCTCCGTCTGGTCCATGCCCGTTTCAGTCGTTCGGTCTTCCAAACGATCCCGGCCCATCCTCCTCATCCAGGCCTGACCCTCTCTCGAACCGACGGCTTGTTCAGCCGGGGGTTTTACCGAGACAGGCTTACATCCCTAGAGCCTCTACTTTTCGATTAACACCTGTGCCTGTCGATCCTTCGGTCTCCTGCCCTCTGTTTCGTTAGACCGACACGTCTCCCTCCGGCCACCACTGTACCACCCACCGCTTGTGTCTTCCTATCTGCCCACCCCTCCCTTGTTGTCACCGTACCCGTCCTTTCAACAGTCGCCCTCCCCACCTATAGCTTATCCTTCTTCGTCAACCAAAGCACCACGGGTCTCCCCTACTGTCCCATTTAGTGACACCTGGCCCCAACCCTTGTCCCGAGACAAGGAACCCTTGATGGCTTCGAGCAAGCCACCCGTTCTTCCTACTTTTCAGGTGACTCTTGTTCTTCTTCTTCTCTTCTTCTCCCCCAGGGATCCCCTTCAAACTCCCTGCAATCCCCCTCTCCTTCTTCGACCCCATCCACTGTGGAGGATCCCTCCAAGAGCCACGTTCCCCCTCTTTACCCTTGGAACCAGACCTATCTATGTGCCTTTGGTACTCCCCTCTCCTCTTGGTTCACCATCCTCCCCTCCCTTTTTCTTTCTAACTTACCTCCCATTCTTCTCTGACACAGAGGTAGGAACAGCCCAGCAGGAAATTCTACCTACCCCTGCTTCCTCGTCTCTAGGCATGGACAGATCGATGCTCCCTTTCGGCATTGTGGCAGTGTATTCCATAGATCCCTCTCCCCCGGACCTAGATTTGATCTCCTCTTTGCTTGCCTCTCATCTCTCCTTTACGCCACACTTGGTCCACATTTACCGGGTTCAGACCCTGTTATTCACCTACCCACCATACCTGTCCTAACCGTATTCTCCTCTGGTTCCTCACCAACAGCACCACTTCCTGACCTATCACCGCTCCTTTCCCCTCTTTGGATTCTCAACCTCCTATAACCCTACCTCTTACCCATCTCTTCTGGCCTCCTCCTCCTCTTTTTACAATGATCCATTTCACTTCTCACCTTCCTATTACCAAGGCCCCTACTCTGATCCGCTAGACACACTTAGCCCGCTATCTTCTCCCACTCCCCTTGACATTGCTTACCTAACGGTCCCCACACAATCTCCGAATCCGGGACCACTACCTACCTTGCCTCCTGACCTATACCCTATCAACACACCTGCCCTACACTCAGCACCATATCGCGAGTCGCCGAGTTGACCAACCTCCCTCATCTCTCACCCTTCAGTCGACGAGGGGGTCTACGGGGATGGGAGCAACAGGGAGATGGAATGACTTAAGGAACCCATCTCTCCCCCTTCGGCTGACTCCAACGCCGAGGGGGTTGACGGGGTTGGGAGCAACAGGGAGATGGAAAGGATGAAGGAAATATACCATGTTATGGGCTTTCATTAAGGTGGCCCGGCTCATAGGTTCTTACGTGCAGACTCACAAAGCTGGTTAATGGTGAGCTTCAAAGGACACATGGAGCTCTTAAATCTATTCTCCTCGATCTGATACAAGAGTCGCCCCTTACAAGGGCTGCTACCATTGACCTCCCTTTCTAAGGAAGTTTGCTAGACTAAACTAGTAAACTCTTCTCCAATTCCCATTGTTAACCCATGAAGATTCTTACGTGGAAT